CCTCGGCCTCCCAGAGAGCTAGGATCACAGGCGTGAGCCACCGCGCCCGGCCCCTCTCTTCCCTTTCATAAGCCTGGGTTCCCAGCTGATCCGTTACTTCCAGGGATTCCAGAGTTAGTCGGTCTCTCCTCAGGGTGGCCTCAGGTGTCCCTGGCGTATTTATTACTTCAATAATTAATTTTAGTCAAACACAAATAGAGACAGATGCAGCCTGGGTGGGGAAGGACAGTCTGTTCTCCCTGGCATCCATCCCAGATGCCAAGGGATTCTGATAATCATATCGGCTGTGTGTGGAACTTACACAAGAACTATTCAGGCTCTAACTCTCAAAAGTTAAACAGTTAATCTGTAAACACACAGATAAACAAGGAAAAAGTTAACAGGGGTTTGCTCTGAGTAGCAGAGTAACTACAATTTTTTCCCAATTCTTTTGCTTTTCTCTATTTTCCAATCTTTCCAGAAAACATTAGGCACAAAAACCAAGTTCTCTCCTATAACGAGCCAGTTCTAGCACCCTAGTGACTTGGCCAGATAGTCCTCCCACAGGCTTTTCTTCTTTCTTTCCCAAGATAAAACATTCAGCAGTCTGCATTTGGGCAAACGCAACTCAGCACAGACACCTAACTAGTACAGCTGCAGTCACCACCATTCATCTCATCTGGGTGCTGAATTTTACATTTATTAATACATCAAGAACATAGCATCCACTTGCTCCAATCCAGCCTAGGAGTCTCTAATGTTTACAGAAATATTTCTAGGCTTTTCCTCTCCTTTACATGCAGCTTTGCCCCCCCGCCCAGCCAGCAATTTATTTCCTCTACTTTCCACTTTTGAGTCATATCTCATCAAGCGAAATGATATTTTATTTATCACCCCATGCTATCACTTCAAGTTCAGTTTGTTGTGCAGCATGCCCCAGGGACCTTTATATACAGATCTATCTGAAACTGACAATTTAATAAAGGAAAAAGTTACTGTGAAATACGTAACACATTTCCTGGCGCCAAGCAGGCATTCAGTAAACAGTCGCTATACAATTAAACATGACACCCCTCCAAGTATACACTTCTGAACTCTTCCTCTTTCCCTACCACATCTGACCTGCACGACAGAAACCAGATGGGAAAGCAGAATATTAAATATTTGTCCCACTTTCCTAAAAATTACTTTTTCCTGTGTTCAGATTTAGCTATTTTACCATTCACCTCTGGCCAATAAATTGCTGTCTCAAGCCAGATTTGAGACAGTGCCAAAAGGAAAGTTGGTGTGTCAAATTCTGCACAGGGTGGAGTCCACGCACCTGCTGCCCAACGCCTGGAGCCTGCTGGGCACGCAGACTCAGACCTCTCAGGCCTCCATGCCACTCCAGGAAGGCAGCACATTCTCCAACAACAAATTCAACCTGGGAACCAAGGAAGAGGTGGAGTGGGAGGGTCTTTCTCCTTGTCCTGCTCTTTCAGAAACTTCCACTGAAATGCTACAACTTTTCCCTTGCTAAAACGCAGTGCTCAAAAAATACTATGAGGGCCGGGCGCGGTGGCTCACGCCTGTAATCCTAGCACTCTGGGAGGCCGAGGCGGGCGGATTGTTTGAGCTCAGGAGTTCGAGACCAGCCTGAGCAAGAGCGAGACCCCATCTCTACTAAAAATAGGAAGAAATTAATCGGACAACTAAAAATACATAGAAAAAATTAGCCGGGCATGGTGGCGCGTGCCTGTAGTCCCAGCTACTCGGGAGGCTGAGGCAGAAGGATCGCTTGAGCCCAGGAGTTTGAGGTTGCTGTGAGCTAGGCTGATGCCATGGCATTCTAGCCCAGGTGAAAAGAGTGAGACTCTGTCTCAAAAAAGAAAAAAAAAAATACTATGAGGAAATATGTTCAGATTCTAATAGTCTCATCTCTGGTTGAATGGGAAATTGCCTTTTTTATACATTTTTATATTTTCCAAATGTTTTGCAATGAACATACTGAACTTTAAAAAATGAAACCAAAACCCAAAGTTTGTTGCTTCCCCAGGAAAGAAAACAAATATTTTGACACTATCTTTAACCATAAGAAGCCACAAAGTAACTCTCCCTTCTCTTACATAATAAAACTGAAAAATTAAAAATAGCTTGTGAAGCATTTGAAAAATGACATCTAGATGGTCTGAATGGGAACAAGTAAATTTTTAGAGATTCTAAATTCTTCTTTTTTTATTTTTTTAAGAGACAGGGTCTCACCCTGTTACCCAGGCTGGAGTGCCATGGCACAATTATAGTTCACTACAGCCTTGAACTCCTGGCCTCAAGAGATCTTCCTTCCCACCTTGGCCTCCCAAAGTGCTGGGATTACAGGGGTGAGCGACAGCGCCTGTCCTGGGATTCTAATTTCTTCAGATCCAGAAGTAGAGAAACCCTTATTGTTAGGTTTCAATAACTAAAAGAAGAATTAAAACTCTAAGCAGACTAAAGAGAGGCTCGTTACCTTGTGCTGTTCTGGGACAGGCGTGGTACACTTATAAGAGTAATCCAAGCCCATCTCCCCAAATGCCACAGCCTTGGGGTGCCTTAAGGCTTGCAGAAGATTTCTTTCTTGACTTTCATTGTAGTAACGTGCAAAATGAGGGTGACAGCCAAAGGCCCCCCAAACCAGATCTTCTTTCAACAGCTCTTCCCACAGGCAATCCGTCAGTGTCCGAGGATCACAGAAGTCAGAGATGCAGCCCTGAAATTCCTTAGGGAAGGAGCTGCTATAAATTTTTCTGAACTTGGTAAAAGTCCCTTTGAAAGACAACTTGGAATAGAGCATGTCCAAGTGACAATGGGTATCGATGAAGCCTTCCTCCAAGCTCGGCTCCCGGTGGCTCCTAGGAAGGGAGCTAGATGTGTGTCCTCCACAAGGACGCGGTGGTGTCTCCTCTTGGAACGTTCTTTTCTCCTTCACCTCTTCTTCTTCTGAGCTTCTGGAGAAACAAAATGACCTAGAGTTCTGAGATCTGCCTTCCTCTGTGGCCTCCAAGTCTCTGGAGGTGTTCTGGGAGCTCACTGTAGAGCTGGGGGAATAATCACTCAGGAGACTCCGGCTGCTCCTCCCAGCCGGGGCTGTGTTGCTGCTGCTGCTGCCCGTGGAGGGGTAGGCTGAAGGCTTGGGGCTGCTGGTCCAATAGCTGGCATAGTCACACCAAGGACTACTGTACAGATGAGGCGGGTACATGACATAGTCTGTGGCGAAAGGCGGCGGCTCTGGAGCTGCTGAGAGTTTCAGTGAGACAGGCTCCTCCTGAGAGAATCTCACTGTGGGGACCTCATCCACATCAGACCAGTCGCTTCCTGAAGAGAGGCGCTCTATCACCACCTCCCTATCTTTATGCTGTAGAACAGAAATAGCAACGGGTTAGCCTTCCTACGTGAATACAACTTCCTGTACTCAGTCAGCAGCAGAACATAAACTCTGGTTTTTCTGGCCACAGCGAAGGCTTTGCATTGGCCCAATAGCTCACCTTGTCACCTGGTTTCCTCACAATTTCCAGAACTCAGCCAAGTTACAGCTGTGAACAGTCATATCAGGTTCAAGGAATAAACCTGTGACCATGCTCTAATAATGCCATTCCTAAAGGGGATGCTATACCTGCACTCCCTTTCTTTTCTTTTTTTTTTTTTTTTTTTTGAGACAGAGTCTCACTGTGTTGCCCAGGCTAGAGTGCCGTGGCGTCAGCCTAGCTCACAGCAACCTCAGACTCCCGGGCTCAAGCGATCCTTCTGTCTCAGCCTCTCGAGTAGCTGGGACTACAGGCATGCGCCACCATGCCCGGCTAATTTTTTCTATATATTTTTAGTTGTCCAATTAATTTCTTTCTAATTTTAGTAGAGACGGGGTCTCGCTCTTGCTCAGGCTGGTTTCGAACTCCTGAGCTCAAATAATCCACCCACCTCGGCCTCCCAGAGTGGTAGGATCACAGGCGTGAGCCACCGCGCCCGGCCTGCACTCCCTTTCTTAATGACCCCTCTTGAGAAAAACTGCTCTGTAGAACACAGTCTGTATTGGGAAGTTTGGAGGCAAGCAGAGCCCAGCTTCTCATCTCTAAGAACATATCCAGTATATTCAAAATGTAAAACCACAACAGTTGTGGTAGTTTTAAAATGTGTGCTCAAATTATTTTTGTAGTCCCCACTACTCCCCAATGAGAAGTGGGGTCTAAGACCCCTCCCCTTGAATCTGGGCCAACCCAGAGACTCAAGTGTAACCGAGAATGCACCAGAAGTAAAGCTGTGTAACTTCCAAGGCTCGGTCAGAACAACCAGCTTCCAACTGGTTCTCTCAGCTTGCTCACTCCAGGAGAAGCCAAGTACCACATAAGAAGTCAGACCACCCATAGGTATGCCAGTTTACAACCTGGCTGACATCCTAGCTGACAACCAGCATTAACTGTTGCCATGTGAGTACACATCTTGGATGTCTAGCCCAGCAAGCTTTCAGATGACTGCAGGCCTTGCCAATATCTGAAAGGAACTACATGAGAGACTCCCCCCAAGCAAGACCTGCCAAGTCTAGACCTTTCTGAATTCCTGACCTGCAAAATTGAGAGCAAAAAGTTATTTTAGGCCAATGGCTAGCAATAGTAACCGGAACAACCATACCTTGCATTAATCAATTTAGCCCTACTAGAATGTAAGTTTCACAAGGTCAGGAATTTTTTTTTTCCACTGATGTCTCCCAAACACCTAGACCAGTACCTGGCATACAGTAAGTGCTCGCAAACAGTTGTAGAATTAATTTGTGGAAATAAACATTATAACGGTTCCTGAACTTAGCTTCGCAACATCACCAACTGCGGTATTTTAAAAACAAATTTTTAATGCCCACTCTACCTTAAGATATTGTGATTCAGTCTATACTAATTCTATATACCTGTATCTATACTCTAAAAGGAAACAAATATTGGTAACAAAAATTTAAATGAATTATAAATTTCCTGCTTTATATTTTCCTGCCTTAGATAATCTT